TATTCAACTAGTTCTTCAACAATGGCATCTTTTCAGAAGGTCTTTGGGTATTAAGAGAAACTGCATATAAACAGTTCATTCCTCATAACTGGGATGTGGTCCCATAGTTCTATGGTAGTGTGCGAGCTTAGTGGCTTAAAACAACAATCACTTACTTGGCTCCAATTCATTTGGTCAGTAGTTGGAGCTGGGCGCAGCTGGGTTGTTCTTCTGGTCTTGACTGGGCTTACTCGAATGGACATGGGCAGCTTCCGGGACAGCTGGAGTTAGCTGGTCTAGGATGGCCTCAGGACGTCTAGGATGGTACATTCACCTCTTCTCCACACAGTTGCTCATCTTTCAGCATCCTGGGCTTTTTCATATGGCAGCTGGCTGGAAGGAGAGCTCCAGGAGGGAGAGTAGGGGCATGTGAGACTTCTACTGCATCCTGCAGGTCAACAGTGATAAGCTTAACATAAACTATGCAGAGAGAAAAACAAGTCCCACTGCTTGATGAGAAAAGTTGGGTAGCAAAAGGACTTGCTGAAGGAATGAGTGGAGAGTTGCGGCCACTTTTGCAATTTTTCTGAGTCAGCCAGTCAGTAAACATGTATGCAAGCAAACAGTCCTGAGGTTGAAAATTTAACTCATGGCCTTCTTAAATCTCCATCTGGATTCAGTATGATTTGTCTTTGTTTTCAGTAAATTTTAGAGAAACTTGTCACATCGGCCTTTATTTCATTTTGTTTTAAAGAGGATGGTATTTTTTCCCCTCAAAAACCATTTAATGACTGTATGAGGAAGTTTGTTTATCCTAAAAATCTCAAGATGAGTAGAGAACACAGCTCCTGTTATCCAAGGATGGCTGAGGTTCCATTTGTCTATAAGAATCTTGTATGGCTTTATCTCAGAGAGTTAAATAAAACATAGGTAGTTTTAAATTATATACAATTGGTGTATTATTTACTGTGTGTATGTTTAGAAAGTGTTGTATAAATATATATGTGTGTATACAAGATGTGACTGAAAGTGCAGTAAATGTGTAAATTTAAAAACAATTTACTACAGTAAAAGACATTGTTGTATTCAGGGTTTACAAGGGAATGTATTTAATTTATAATTTATAAGATTGTTTTATAATATTCACCCAAAGAGTCAAATACAAAAGAGTGTGGGAGATCTATCCACATATTAGAGACCCAGAGAATCCAGCTGAGGGCCTGGATCCCTTGGCAATGTCCTGCGTGAGTCCAGCTGAAGACCTAGAGCCCATGGCACTCTCCTCCACAAGTCCAACTGGAGGCCTAGAGCCCACGACAGTGTCTCACATCTGCGCTGGGAAGGCCCAAAGGTCAGTGGTGGAAGCTAGAAAGTCGGTGCCAGTAGAGTGAAGGATCTGTACCAGCAGGCTGAGGGATCTGCACTGGAGCCAGGAAGTGATGCTCAAAGTAAGAACCAGTGCTCCCTTAAAAAGAACCACAGCTATCCTCAGCAACAGTGAGGTCCTGAGTTGCTCCGACGATGAGAGCAGCTGAGTTTATATCAGGAAAGCTAGCATGTTCTGGAGAATCAATGGTACACCATCTTCCCCTCCAGTTCTCCTTTCGTGCTGTTAGCAACAGTCCTCAGGTGGGCCTTCCACACCCAGCACCATGCAGATGCAGTTCAGCTGGGTGTGACAAGTTGACCATTAGTTAATCCACCACAGATTATTGCCATTAATCTCCCTGAAACTACTGCCCCTTGCTTCACACACACTTACCCCATCACTCTTGCCACTTTTTTATTTTTTATTTTATTAGAACATGTTTGCAGTACACAGTACTTACATTCTTTGTGTGGAGTTGTGTGTCTTCTCCTCCTCTCCCTTCTCCTTCCATCTCTTGGTCCGCTTTCCTTTTGCAAAAAAAAACCTATCTCCCTGTTTCTTATTACCTATCTTTTATTTTGCTTAAAGGATGGTATTTAAATGCTTAAGCCTAGTTTTTATTCAGCATGATGGGTGAGACTGTGCACACAAAAGCTTTGAAGTCAGCGTGATAGGTTACAGGACTGTGAGATTCTGTCCCATGTGCTCCGTGGAGGCAAAGAGCATTGGTCCTATTCCTCAGCGATCTCAAGCTCCAGCACAGTGCTAGACTCAGAGCCATCACTCAGTGAAGCAGGAAACAATGCCGTGGTTGCAATGATGGATTAACAGGGAATGTGCAGAGAGGTAGGGGCCTATATTTGAATTCTGCGGGGCTGATCAGGTGGTGCAGCCATCTGATACAGTTTTTGTCTGAGGATTTGTGAATAAGACAGCATGGGGCTGTCCTTTTCTAAGCATAAAGCATACATGTATTTGACACTTACCAGCAATGTTTGCCCTTTATCTGCTGTTTTCTATTTTTGGGTAAGGACACAAGTAAAGTGAATGGCTCAAACTTTATCAGAAAGAATTTTTAAAATGTATTTATAACTCTGCAAGTTATCAAATAAGCAAGATAAGGCATCTTATTCTCTAAGCATCTTCAGAAATAATGAGCCAGATACCCATGGATCTAGGTATCTGGCCCAGAAGCACACCCCATGACAAAGCACTGCATTTTGCTGTTTTGAAGTTGCAAAGTGGGGAAACTTTTCTGTGTTAATATTAAAGTGTGTTTTCAAAGACCACAGAAAGAAAGCAAAGCCCAAAGCGCTGCTCATTTCTGAGGGCACCAGTTTCTGGAGCTTCCTAGCTCATGTGGTTCTGTTGCATCAAATTGTCCTTAATCTGGCCTCTAAATGCTTTCTCCTTACTCAGTTGGATTCAGAATACTTCACAACATAGTCTCACTCAGAAGCCTTTTTGTGTATGTGTGTGAGACAGGGTCTCACTATGCAGTTCGGGCTGTCCTTGAACTCACTTAGTAGCTCAGGCTGGCCTCAAACTCAAGTGATCCTCCTGCCTCAGCCTTCCGAATGCTGGGGTTATAGGTGTGTGCCACCATGCCTGGCTTTCACTCAGAAGTCTTAAGAAGAACAAATTTGTGTTTTCAAAGATGTGTTTATTTAATTGTAGCATACAAATCATCAGCCAACAGGTCAATGGATTATTAAAAAAAAAAAAGAGAGAAGAAATCCAATCATTATACAGGTTAAGAAGAAAAATGTAATTAGCACCCCGAAAACCCTTCTTTGTGCTCAGACCAAGTTCTCCCTCCCTTTTTCCCGCCCAAGCATAGCTACCCTCCCAACTTCAAAACCATAGACTGGTGCTGGTTTTCAACTTTTATGTAAGTAAATCACACAGAACACATGCATTTTTGCCTGACTCCTTTTGCACAATATTCTGGCCATGAAATTCAGCCATGTTGTTGTGAGAAGCCATAGTTGTTTCTTTTTTATAGGTTTTCATTGAAGTATAAATTATATATTAGTTCTGTAGTTAATGGCTATTTAAATTGTTTCCAGTCTGTGGTTGTTACGAACATTTCTGTAGATGAATTTTGGCACTCATGTGCACGTATTGCTGATGAGTGCATATTTAAAAGTAGAACTGCTGTGTCATCGAGCACCCATATGTCCCATTTTAGTTCATACTCCCACTAACAGTGCTTCCTGTGCTTGCTAATACCTGATACTGTCTGTCTGATGTTAGTCATTGTGGTGCTATACAGTGGTATTTCATTATGACTAATTGTCATTCTCTCATATTAATGAAGTTACACAACTTTACACATTTAATGACTGTTTAGATATCTTTTCTGTGATGTGCCAGTTCAAGCCTCTTAGCCACTTATCTGTGCGTGGTCTATTTAGCATTGATTTGCAGGAGTATATATGAAATTCTAGGTACAAGCCCTTTGTATTTATATGTATTGCCACTATCTCCTCCAAGTCTGTGCCTCTTCTATGGTGGCTTTTGATGAACAGAAGTTTTAATTTTTGGCCGGGGATATAGCTCAGTGGTACAGCGCCTGCCTGGCAAGCATAAGGTCCTGAGTTTGATACCTAGTACCAAAAAAAAAAAAAAGAAAGAAAGAAAGAAAGAAAAGAAAAAGAAGTTTTAATTTTTATATAGTCCAGGTGTCTATGCTTGTACTAATACCAGAACCTTAAAAAGTAATCTAGTTTTATAAAATTTTATAGTATGTGTCCTCTAAGTTTTTCTTCTTAAGATTACCTTGTCTATCCTTAGCCTATTACGTTTCCAAAAATGCTAGCATCAGCTTGCTAATTCAGATTTTTATTTAGAACTCTATTAAATCTACATGGATCCGCTGGACACAGTGGTACACACCTGTAAGTGTAGCACTTAAGAGACTGAGGCAGGAGGATTGCAAGTTTGAGCCTTATCTGAACAACTTAGCCAAAATAACTGGGGATGTAGGTCAGTTCAAAGACCCTACTTCAGTTCCCTGTACTTCAGGGGAAAAAAATTTACATGGATCATTTGGGGCAGAATTGAAAAATTTGAGCCTCCTATTACACAGTCATTGTATATTTCTTCATTTATTTAGGTCTTTAATTTTGCTCATCAGTATGTTGCACCATTCTATATAGAAGTCTTGCAAGCATTTTTGTTAAATTTAGTTTAGTTTAGTTTAGTTTAGTTTTTTTAAAGTTTCTTTGAGACAGGGTCTGGCAGTGTAGTCCAGGCTGACCTTGAACTCACTACGTAGTCCAAGCTGACCTCAAACTCATGGCAGTCCTCCTGCCTCAAACTTCCAAATGCTGTGATGACAGGTGTGTGCCACCACACCCGGCTAAGTATTTGATTTTTTTATTAATACCATCCTTTAAATTTTTGGCTTTCTGTTTATTACTAGTATGTAGAAATATAGTTGATATTTATATTTCATGTGGACCCAATGTTCTTGATAAACTCACATATTAATTATAATGGCTTATATGTACATTCTTTGGGTTACCTATGATTTGTACATGATCGCATTATTTATTCTGTTCCAGTCTTTGTGTGTTTCATTTCCTTTCTGGTTGTGCACGACTCTGTGCCTTTAGACCTACTGAGGTTTTTCCCTCTGTCTTTCCAGATGAGGCTGAGGCCCATATTGACTATGAGGATAATTTCCCCGATGACAGGTCTGTGTCATTCAGAGAGCTCATGGAAGATTCCCATTCAGAAGCAGAAGGGGACAAAGGTCGGAGAGAAGCCTCTGAGGAGGTACCAAAACAAGATCGTCTAGTCTCCATTTCAGTGAGGAAAGAAAATATTGCCCGGCAGAAAACTTTTGTTCCAAACACAGGCTTGCCTGGCACCGGGAGCAGTGTCCCCACAGACTTGCCAAAATCCCAACTAAACCAAAAGTACTCGTTCTGGTTTCCTGCTGAGACTTTCCACAAGCCTGATTTGGAAAGGGACATCGATGATGATACCAAAAAGCGGTTTCCTGCTGGAGACAACCACAGTGCAGTGAAACTGGTCCCAAGTGAGCCTGACACCAGGGTGACCTATGGCAGCACTGATGGCCCCTTGGGATCGTCCGTGGACAGGAATGACAGCAAAGCAGGGGACCTGGTGGTGAGCAGCAGCGAGGAGTCCTGGTTAGATGGCTATCCTGTGACAGACGGGGCTTGGAGGAAGGGCGAGGCAGAAGAAGAGGATGATGGGGACAAGGGGCCTGGGTCGGTTGGCCTGGATGAAAGCGTTCTGGTGACTCCTGATCAGCCAGTGTTTGTGGAAGTTAAAATGCCCAGAAGTACCACCCTCACACCAAGCAAGGACATGACCCACAGTTCAGTTCTTCCATCTGAAATGCTAGATGTGGAGGCTTTGGCTCTCAGACCCATGAATGTGTCTAAGACCAAAGGTCCCCAGGACAGGGATGATGCCTTGGCCAAGTACCAGTCTACTATACCTTGGCGATTCACCACAGAGAAGTCTCCCGTGACCTCTCCACCCTATGAACTCACCGGCCCTATCCTGGAGATAGAAACAACAACTGCTGTCCAGCAGATGCCTAGCAACATCCCCTCCACCAGCACAGCAGCCACCCAGCTTCCAGTGGAAACCAGCGCTCCTGAGGCCCAGGATAGCTTCCCATACCTGCTGTCTGAGGACTTCTTGGGACAAGAGGGCCCTGGGCCAGTTGTGAGTGAGGAGGAGCTCCTTCCAACCTTGGAGCCATGTGTGGGGGATGAGTGTCCCAGCCTCAGCAAAGGCCCTGTCATCGCCACCGTTGTCACCGTCCTATGCCTGCTACTGGTCCTGGCGAGTGTGGGGGCCGTGTGGGGTTATCGCAGGTGCCAGCACAAGAGCTCTGTGTACAAGCTGAATATGGGCCAGCGGCAAGCTCGGCACTACCACCAGCAGATTGAGATGGAGAAGGTCTAGTCCCTGTCACATCGGGCTCTCTCACAGCCACAGGGACAGTAGCTGTGATGCATCACGGACAAACACTGCTAATGCTCAAGAGCACAGGTAGGGCAGGGCCGATCTGCTTCTCCTCAGGTTTGCGTTCTGTAGGCTGAGAAGTGGCTCTATAGGCACCCAGCGGGGCAGGGAGGTTTCGGCGGTGTCAGCGCAGTGCCAGTGCCTCCTCGCTGTCTGCCCTGGAATTAACCCAAGATCTGTGCTTGGGCCCTACTTCTGATACAAGGTCTTGCTTCCCATGTCAGGATGTTGCCTTCTTTTCTTTTTTTAAGGAAGAAAATCACTGACTCCGGCTCCATGCTCTGAAATGTTTGAAATGGGTTTGATAAACTGAGCACTTGAAAGCAATGTTGTCAAGAACATAAATGTTAATTGTGGGAGTAGGGCACAGAAGAATGATGGGTTATTTGCTTTTAAAATTATGATGTCCCTGAGGGCAAATGAACCAGGAGCCAGGACACAGTCCTGGAGATGTCTTTGTAATTGTTAAAGCTGACGTTTTGCTCTGGAGAGGTGGGCAGTGAAGACACACCCACCTCCTCTCCCTCCATTCGCAGGACAGCCCAGCATTTTGTTTTTTGTCTTTTTGAGACAAGGTCTCACTGTGCAGTTCAGGCTGGCCTTGAGCTCACTTTGTAGCCCAAGCTGGTGTCTTGAACTCGCAATGATCCTCCTGCCTCAGCCTCCCGAGTGCTGGGGTTACAGGTGTGCCACCACGCCCAGCCAGCCCAGCATTTTTTAAAGACAAGATGAGCTTTCTAGCAGTAAGAACCCTTCCCTATCGCTGCTTTGGAATAGTTTGTGCCCACAACTGCCTTGAAACTTCTGCCAGGACTAACAAAATTCAACCCTTAGTTTCCTTTCTCAGAATTAACCATTTCACCAAACTCTAGTAAAACCGAATGACATGGAAGAAAAAAATGTTTGAAGAAGGTCCAAGACTAGAGCGTCTTGATAGAGAAGGGGAATTGAAAGTGAACTTGGAATGATCTGTGTTGATGTATTTTTTCTCATGGGGAAGAGTCCAGCCCAGCCTTTGAGCAGCCCGCTTCCCAGCATTGAGATCATCTCATGGTGGCTCAGCATTGCTTATGACAGTGGCTCCCAAAGGTGGTCTCCAGACCACTGACATCAGCATCACCTGGGAGCTAGTTGGAGATGCAGATTCTCCAGTCCCACCCTGGACTTGGGAAACAGCACCCCTGGGGGTGGGGCCCAGTGCTGTCAAATTGGAGAGCTATTGGTTTACACCCTACCTTGTAAACATCGAGGCCAGTGGAAGCACTGCAGGCAGAGGACAGGTGACACCCGAGGTCTCTCTCACATGAAAGTAGGCTCTGCCACTTGCATCTAGAGCACTGTTGAAGCTGCCAAAATACCGCCTCTAACAGCCTCTCTAGTGTCAACCCAGAAACTGAACATGCCATATTTTTCTAATATGAATCAGAAATTATTTTCTAATCAAATATTTTCAGTGGTAAAGTTGGTTAAAACAGTGACTTTCTTTTGAGACACCATAAGAGTCTAGTAAGTGTTTTTGTGTAGTATAAGAGAAATCTTTATTTTCAAAAATATATATAATTGGAGAGCCGGGCATGGTGGCGCACGCCTGTAATCCCAGCACTTGGGAGGCTGAGGCAGGAGGATCATTCCAAGTTTGAGACCAGCCTGGACTACAAAGTGAGCTCAAGGCCAGCCTGAACTGCACAGCAAGACCCTGTCTCAAAAAGACCAAAAAAAAAAAAATTATATATATATATATATATATATATATATATATATATATATAATTGGAAAATTGGTGGTGTTCTACAGCAAAGAAGAAAGGAATTCTTGTAGCATGTCTTCTACCCTGACACCTCTTTTCAGTGCAAGCTTTGGAAAGCTAGTAGCCTAAGTATCTTCAAGACAGTGCAGCATAGTCAAAGATTTTAATTCCCCTAACTGGGGAATTTGAAGGCCCGAGGTTACCAGCTGGACTACCTATGCATCAGATGAAATCTAGAACTGTAGGAACGAAACGTTTTCTGCATGTACCAAAGCTTCAGAACAGAACAGAATAAGAGCCAGACACTGTATATATTTTTAAATTAGATTTGAACCTATTACAAGATAACTTTTCTATTTTAACTATATAAAACAACTTGTGTCAACATTAGGATTATGTAACTATTATGTAATAACCTAGAACATTGAATTTATACCAAAACATACACAGGCAATATCAATACAAATGTATTAATAATTTATTACAAATTATTGATACATGTAAATGTATTAAGTTGTAGACCTGGACCGCAAAGTAAACTTAACACATCAGTTTTTAAGTTTTTATTGATTTGATGTCATCTAAATTAATGTTGCAGGATCTAAAAATGCATGTCAAAAGGGAATGATTCAAACACTGTAAACCTAAACTGTGTCATTATGCACATTTGGAGACTGGTAAGGTTTAATGCTCATGAAAACTGAGGGGGAAAGGGGTTTCACTAACACAAAGCTTCTGTTATATTTTAATAAATATTTCCCCAAATATTGCTGAATAGGTCTTATTTCTGGGTTACTGCACCATGATTATTCTTTAAAGATTCCCTAGTATTTTGAAAATAATGTCTTAGTACTTGTTATACTTAATTCTGCCCTCTGTAAACCTAACTCTTAGTCATACTACCTCCTGCAGCAGGATTTCAGGGGAGCTCCTGTCCCTCTCCCCTCCCTCTTCCTTACCCCAACCATAGAGGAGCAACCCAGGGCCTAGCTATTCAGAGTGTAATTCCTGCACCAGCTGCACAGCCACTGCCCATAGGAGCTTGGTAAAACTGCAGAACCTCAGGGGCAGCCCTGGACCCACTGCATCAAAACCTCCATTGAACAAGATGCCTGGTGATGGAGGTGCATAGTAACGTTTGAAAAGCGCCAGTCTGAAAGACGAGAACTGCTTAGCTCCCTCTTCTCAACTGATCTGATACTCAGAGGGATCATTAAAGTGGGTTAGATGGAGGAATTATTCACAAAGGTGTGGGTAGGGTTAAGAGAACCTCTAAGAGATGGTGGAGAGCTAGTAGGGGACCCAGTGAGAGCTTCAGCAACTGGAAAGACACTGAGGGCCGGGCATGGTGGCGCACACCTGTAATCCCAGCACTCGGGAGGCTGAGGCAGGAGGATCGTTGTGAGTCCGAGACCAGCCTGGGCTACATAGTGAGCTCAAGGCCAGCTTGAACTGCACAGTGAGACCTTGTCCCAGAAAGACCAAAAACAAAAACAAAAACAAAAAAACCAGGAAAGACACTGCTGGGCCAGAGCTCTGGCCTCACAAATGCAGCCGCAGTTGGTCTGTGGCCTGGAAGAAACAGGTGTTAAAGACCCACACCTCTTCTTCCTGAGATCTCTTGCAGGCTTGTCCTCTTGGCAACAAGAAGTCAAAGGGCAAGGGATGCAGGCAAAGTAGACCATAGAGATCAGGTGCCTGAAACATAGGGAAGGGTGGAAGACAGACCCAGAGGGGCAAATAGTGAAATTCAGCTCTGAGACATCAGTACCACTTCCTCTCCCTTATGTCTCTGTGCCTCTGTAACCATCGGGGGTCCATGCTCCTAAGCCTCCTACATTGTGGGCACTATTGACAGCCCTCAGAAACCTCCTTTACTGGGCAGGTGAACCCATTTCCCAGTTGCCCTGAGTTTCAGCCACTAAAGTGCTCATAAGCACGGAACTGTACACTGTTCACACAGAGAACTACTTTCACCCAGGAAGTGAGACCCATTTCTACCCTGCTAGACTAGTTGCCGTGGGAATATAAAAGGCCAGTCTCCTTACCTCAAAGGGAGACCAACTCCCAGCTCCAGAGCTCCTAGCAGGTCAGGCTGGAGCTGGTCCCACTGAAAACACATCTTGCTGCTTTCTCCCACTCCTTTTCATGTTCATGGTACTGGGGATCAAACCGAAGGCCTCACATATGCTAGCACTTTATCACTTGCACAAGGCCTTGCTTCAAGGAATCCGGATGTAGGACATGATCACCACTCAAACTCTTATTCCCTACATCTCCATTCCTCCTCAGTCCAAACCCTCACTGTGTCCTCTGGTACTCCCGGGCTGACACCAACAAATCCCCACGCTGTCTGCCACATCTTCACAGCACTGATGTTCAAACTCTGACATGCACCTCTTTGTTTTTGTGCAGGTTGTTTCCTCACTCTTTCCACCAGCCTCCTCTTCTCTTCTTTCTCCTCATTTGCCCTTTAGCAAGACACATGGGGCAGTTATTGGCAGTCACGCCTGAAGAAGCTTTGGGTCCTTGTTCAAAACAGAGTCTGGAAGTTTTTCCTACTAGGATCCCAAAGCTGGCCATTTTTCCTAGTAGGATTCCCAAAGCAAAACTTCCCAGGGAGAGGCATAGAGGCATAAGCCTGCATTGCCTCACCAGACCTCGGCTGGCTCATGGCTAGCAAGGACCACCTCTGCTTCATGAGATCCAGGAGTCTTTACCATAAGAGTTCTGCTTGTTAGGTGAATGTCAGAAATGTCACGGACTCGAGAAAACAGAGCTCATTATAACGTGTGTCCTGAAATGACTGAGTGTGGCTAAGATAGTCCCTTCCAGTAGACAGAAAATAACACAGTGGTGAATAAGCAAAATAAAACAGACTTTTTAAAACGTTTCTGTTTTCAACTATATTATCCAAGTTCTTTTTTTTTTTTTTTTTTTTTTTTGTCTTTTTGAGGCAAGGTCTCGCTACGCAGTTCAGGATGGCCTTAAGCTCACTTTGTAGGCCAGGCTGGTCTCAAACTCACAATGATCCTCCTGCCTCAGCCTCCCGAGTGCTAGGATTACAGGCGTGCGCCACCATGCCCAGCCCAAGTTCTAATTTTCTACAAGAACAAGATTGCACAGACCACCCTAATTTAAGGAAGAGGTAAAAAAGAACACCAAGAACATTTATAGTTTGTCCTACTGACTGCCAACCTCAGTGAGTGAGAAAACCCTGGGATATACTGGCTACATTATTCAGTTCCTTCCTATTGTTATAAAATGTGGCACTGGTATCTTACCTGCCAGATTAAAGAGGAGATTGAGCCAGAGCAGTCACACACTGTATTTGTTGGAAGACATTGTTAGGTGCTGGGACCCGGCTGCTCATGTGCCTACCCTGAGAGACAAGCACTCTCTCTGCACCCATCACTACTCCTGACTCTTGTTTCTGGGGAAGGACTGGGTCAAGGCAAACCTGGCCAGTTGTGGTGTCGCCTCTTGCAGGGAGATGCCACAGGGACAGGCCTGGGGACTGGTCTTGCCCCCCACTGCAGACACAGGAAGAGCAATGCAAAAAGCCTTTGGCTGAAGCTCTTTTCTTCCACCTCCCCCCAGCCCCCTTGTACACAGTTTAAACTCTCCACACTGGGTCATTCAAGCCTGGAGTCACCAGAAAAAAGAAGTCGCTGTTTGGGGGATGGCAGATGATCAAGAGTTCAGACAGCTGCGATGAAGGATTAGTTGTGGTTTTTTCTCAGTACCTCGCTGCAAACTGTGTTGCAGTTCCATGTTCAAACACTATTAAATGAGAATGTTTTCTCTGGCACTGATCCACCTTTTCCCCACAGTTTAAGTATTGAATTAAAAAAAAAAAAACCTGAAGTAGCTTCAGTTTACAGCTCACATTTAAAACTTAAAAACGTTATTTCCATAAATGCTGGCAGAAGCCGGTCACTGTTTATTCCACCAGCAGTCCTAATAAACCCTTTCCCATTGACAATCTAACAAATCATTTTCTGTTTGCCACTCAGTTGGGTTCAGTAGAATTTTTGTGCTCTTAAAATTTCCTTAATAAGAACTCCTAAAAGCACGCATTTCCTTCCTAAGGCAGTCACTGTGGTCACCATTCCCAGTGACTCTCCTTCTGGATCTCAGGGCTGAGCCCAGCAGTTCAGTGGCGGCCACTAGGAGATCTCGAAACTCAAAGCTACTTGGTGTTGACTGTGTTTTTGTGCTGCACGTGAGTCCGTTCGTCGTCTGTGAATATGCGTGTGCACAAACCTCCCTCAGCCCTTCCCCGCTCCTATCAGGTCAGCACCAGCGGTGGCCCAGGGCTGGCCTTAGAGCCTGCAGTGGGCCCCTCCTGCATGGACTGAGAGTGGCACTGGGGCTGGACAGACGCCCCGCCATGGCGGTCATCTCCCTGGGATGAGCCTCAGGAAACCAAATAGGGCAACCACTGTGCTCTGTGCTGGCAGGGCGGAGGACAAGTGTGGCATCTTCAGAGTAGACATGGAAACTCCGACAAAGCTTACAGACGTGTCTGCTTTTTCAAAGGACAGACCAAACTAGTGCTAAACCCATGGTATCCTGGTCCAGAATGCTTCCAGGCTCTTCCAGGAAACGCGCTCAGGGAGGTGCTGGGCTGAGGTTGTTGAGTCCTCACCCTGGTGCTTCGTGGTAGGTTTTGAGGGAGCAGCCTACTTTCTTTTCCCCAAAGGTTGGTTTGATTTCCTTTGAAATTAAAAAAAAGTGTAAGAACTCAACTCAGCCTTAAAGCTAAGTGCTGTTAATGATGACCATACTGTCACCAGGTGTCTTCCTCAGGGGACACCGCTAGAGTGAGGGTGAAGGTGCCCTTCAAACGCAATGCAAGGGGGCCAACTTCAGAGAGCAAATGAGGGTCCACAGACTCACCGACTCAGCCGCTACCTGGAACAGCATTTACAGAAAGGTCACCCGAGGCTCCCAGGGACAGAACGAACAGGTAGCTGTGCCACGCACACCGGAGGAGTGAGCAGGAGCTCCCAGCCAGGCGGGGTCCCTGCGGGGGCTCCTTTCCTGTTCCTCTGCAGCCAGGAGCTCAGCAGCTGCTGGGTATGCTCTCTGCACAGGAAAGGGTGCACTCTCTGGGTCCCCCACTCCATTACGATCCTGTCCTACGACCCTCTTTCCGGCTGATTACAAAGCTTTCTCTGGTAGAGTAGAGGGTGGGCACAGAAGGAAATGGGAACCCAGCACCCCATGGGTCACAGCCATCTCTCCCAGCAGGAGTTCACAAAAAGCCAAAGCGTCACTGGGCATCCCCACTGAAAGGGTGCTGTGGCCACAAGTGTACCTATCAAAGTCCTCCCCCTGCTTTGGCAGAACAGTCCCCTGGGGGGTACAGAGTCTGCTGTCCTGAGCTGCTTCAGCAAAGACAGAAGTGGGAGGGTCACTGTCTCGGGTTGGGCACCTAGAGAACCTGCCATGGGGTTCTTGTGCAGGCGAAATAGGAAGTGCTCTCAGGTGGACAAGGGACACGGGAGGAAGCTCAGTGCAGAAGGAGAAACAGGAGGATGTCCCCAAGTTCGCAGAGATTGGAATAGTGTCCTGGGGGGGAAACAGAAGCCTGAAAAGCACAGATGTGTGCAAGCCCCACCCCAGTGAATCACCATGGCACAAAGACCCAAATCACTATCTCCTTTCATCTATACCAGCGCACTGTGGGAGAAATCTGTCTCCCAAATGCTAGGAAAGTCTCCACTAGACAAGTATTTGAAGGAGAATATAAGTTTCAACAAAGAAAGCCAGCTAGATGAGTGAGATGTGCACACCTGGAGTCCCAGCACTCTGGGAGGCTGAGGCAGAAGGACTGCAAGTTTGAGCCCACCCTGATCAATTCAGTGACTTAGTGAGACCCAGTCTCAAAACAACATTTAAAAAAAAAAGTTCAAAGGGCCTGGGATGTAGCTCAGGGCCCTGGGTTCAGCCCCCAGCGCCCCTCCACCTAAAAAAGAACTCAGTTCCCAGAACCCCACACTCCTGTTTTCTGCCCCCCGAGATAGGCAGGCTTTGGCTGATCTCTCATTTCCTAGAGTGCCAGGGCTCAGTCCTTAGCTCCTTCTTCCTTTTCTTCTGCATATGTCTGCACTATCTAGGTGGCCTCACGCAGCCTCACGGCTTCAAGGGCTCTGACATGCTGAAGACTCCACAGTCAGCGCCCCTCGCAGACCCCTCACGTCCAGCCCCAGTCTGACTGAGCACATTGGTGACTGGGGACCCACAGCCCTCTTTCCCAGAGAACTGCCCTCAACTGATGCCCACCTTCAAAGGTCCCCTGGCCCCCAGCAGATTCCTCACAGCCAACAACTGACAGAGAGGCTGCCACAGGTTTCTCCTGTGAGCACCCACACCACCAACAATGTGCACACGGATCCCCATCTCTGGCTCTGCTGGCGACCGGACCCCAACTGCTCTCCAGACCCATCTGTACCCTGAACCTCCCATCCCAACCTTGGGCCGCCAGTTATGCACCCAACTCCTCCCTAAGGCACCCACCCCGGGAGGTAACAGTGACTCCACCCTTCCGGTTGTTCAGCATAGGAACCTCCATGTCACCCTCATGCTCTTTCTTTCTCTTACTTTGCTCTTTCTCGTACACTCCATGTCCAACCTGTGGGCAAATCACACAGGCGCTGCCTTCAGAATAAATCTAGAATTGGCTCTGTGTCACTGTGGCCCAACCCCAGATCTGAGCCTGGGACCTCACAGAGCCCCCTCTGGCTACCCTGCTTCCACCCGCTGACTCTCAGGTTCCCAACCAGGGAGCAGTGAGAGTGAGCCGGTAAAACACAGTGAAGACACTGCTCTATTCAAGCCTCCCGACGGCCCTGCCCTCTCCACACAAGCTGAACGTCTGAGTCTGCCCATTAAGGCCTGATGCCATCTGTCCTTGTCCCCCGCCCCCGCGTTTATTTTTCTCTGTAGCAATTATTACCTGCTGATACCTTGTATATGTTTATTCTCTGTTAATTTGTTATCTTTTCCTTCCTGTAGGATGTAAGCTTTGCAAGAACAGGGAATTTTTTTCCTGTTATTCTGTGCAGCAGCTCTGGGTCTGGGTCAATGCCTAGCACACAGCAAGTACTCCACAAATAGTCACTGAAAGAATAAATGATGCTAGACTTCCATGCCGGACATAGTGCATGCCTGCATTCCCATCACTCTGGGAGGCTGAAGCAGAAGGATCACAAGTTCAAGCCCAGCCTGAGCAACTTAGCAAGTCCCTGTTGCAAATATAAAAAAGGGTTGGAGATGTAGCTCAGTGTGAGTGCCCAAGTTTGATCCTTAGTAGCACACACCCACACCCACCCACACACACACACACACACACACACGCACGCGCACACACACGGTAGACTCCCTCTGGCTTTCTATTTCCAACTTTGAGACATACAACTGAGCATTGTTCTCAAATGAGACTGGCTAACCTCTACACAGTTTTGGAGAGTGTTAGGCAAAAGCCACGCATCTGTATTCTATACATCTATCTAGCTTGTTTTTCAATGCACGCAAGAAGTGGTACAGGTCAGACCAAGTGAAGTCCATCATGGGGCTTGGGGAAATTTAGCCTTTGTCTTCTACCATCTTTCCTGAGTGAGAGAAAAGGACTAAAATCCCAAAGAGCAGAGAGACCAAAGAAGGTTTTCACAATCATCATCCTTTAGGAGTGTTTTCCTTATTTAAAAAATAATACTGATTTTTCTGGGGGAAGAAGGACCAACAAACCATGGAAGACTGTCCTCCCAGCCAAAATGGTGAGAAAGGCACATGTGAACCTGGGGGAGGTGGGTGTGGACATGAGGAAGACAGGTGAACGTGGGACAATAGGTGTGAACATGGGGAAGGCAGGTGTGAACATGGGGGAAGGCAGGAAACCCACAGAAAGACAGGTCTGGACCCTGGGAAGGCAGGTGTGAGGATGGGCAAGACAGGTGAAAGACAGAGTGAACATGCGGAGGAGAGGGGTCAACACCGGGCAGACAGGCTCACCCCTGTCACCTGCAGTCCGGGGCCGGGGCTTCCCTTTCATATCACAGAGCAAAGGGGAGGCTCTGAGGTATCAACAACCTGGGACACTGGGAAAAGGAGAGCAAAGACTGTTTCCTGAACAGCAAGGCGAAGTCTCGTCAGTTGCTGTGGGCTAGCCCGCTTCCTCCAATTCCAAGAGGTCATCCACGAATTCCACAACCTCTCCCTGGAAGAGACAACAGCACAGCTCTGTGAGGGGGGCTGTCTGACTTTAAAAGTACCAGTGCGCAGAAATAGGAGGCCACCACTGGCTTTCTCCTTGGGCCAGAGCAGGTGTCCCTGGCTTGAATGAAGCCCCTAGACCTGATTTCTCTCACCCAGTGGAGGGAACCTCAGCTTCTACTCCATGTGAACTCTGTGTCAAGTGCTCTGCCACCCCTACAGATGACCTGTGTGAAGGGGACAGTCCACCACCCTCTGGAAGGCCCAACTGGATGGCTCTTCCTCACCCCTCCCCCATCGGCAGCTCTCCCACAAGGTCACTGTCAGCCCCCTTTCTGCTACGACTACCACACCACATTTCCCAGGCCAGAGCAGCCAACCTCACTGCTACCGGCCAGCATTCCTTCCTTTGAGGACCAGCCCCTCACGGGGCCCCTGTGAGCCTATCAGGCTCTGCTTCAAGGACCTGGACATCGTGTCCTGGTCTATGTAGCACTTCCAAATGGAACACATGTTTTAGTCTCACAATCCTGGAAGGGTCAGAGTGTTATTGCCATTTTATAGATAAAATATTGAGACTCAGTTCCTTAATCCCAGTGATGGGTCTATCTCATATAAATCCGTACACAGAAAATTTCTCTGACAATGCCTGATTCAGAGGTGTTTCACCTGAAACTGGGATAGCAGGAAGGGCAGATCTGGGGGCCTGTTAGTCTGGGCTAGCAGCTCGAAAGACTTTCTGTTCCCCAAGCTCTTCATCCATAACATGAGGGTCAGGGCAGAACATGCTCAGATCTCCCTCCCTCCCTCTCTGTTCCTACATTTTGAGAGAGTCTCACTAAGTCACTAAGCGGCCCAGGATGGACTCGAACTTGCCATGCTCCCGCCCAGTCTCCCAGAGTGCTGGGATCATAGGCATGAATACCCGGCTAATCAGAGATCTCTTCCAAGCTCTAATGGTGGCAAGTTCCAGCTTTGTTAGAAAGCATGTTTTAGTCTGTTCCAAGAGTATCTCCAAGCGATACTCCTAACGGTGGATTTTCTGTGGCTCAGCTGTCCCTGAACAAAACGACTCCTCCAAGATCAATTAAAACTATCAAAAGGAGCTGGCTAAGACAGGACTACTCAAGAGATCTCAAGGAATCCCAGAGAATGATAAAATGCTTACCTCAAGGATGTAATTTACCAAAGAAGAAGAAACAATTACAGTCTGAGAGAAAAATTGGAATTGGGAGTTTCTAAATCACTTCAGAGCATTGAGCAATTGAAAATTCACCATTTTTATTAAAAAGAGTTCAGCTTAATGGCCGGGTGACTACAGTGGATTCCTGCAGCATTGCTCCATCCACACTTCCCGTCAGGAAATGTACCACTCGGGCCCAGCTTTCCCAGAAAGCCACGTGCTTCCACACCAGGTTCTGACTTTCATTAAAACGCTCGTAGCAACTGTCTCAAGGTCCCTTTCCTTCACTTATTTCAGGGACAACTCAGCCTTCCAGTGATTCCAGCAAAGACATGAGTAACATCTGTTCTCTCAGCCAGATGTGTGCTGAGCATGAAAACTTACCTCGTCATCATCCATTATATTTTCCTTAGCAAAGTCATACAGCTCCTTCTGGAGCGTAGTCACGTTGAAGAACTGAACTGCTTCCTGTTCAGACAGAAACAGAAAACAGCTCATGTGACCAGCCTTTTCATGTTGGAGCTGACAGGGTATGGGATTTCTTTCTGGAGTGATGAAAATGTTTAAAATTAGACAATGGTATTGGCTGCACAGTTCTGAATATATTAGCATCCACTGAACTGGACACTTTAAGAAGGTATATGGTATATGGATTATATTGCAATATAAAAAGTATGGCCAACCCTGAATAAATGAAAAAGAGTTTTGTAAGTGTGTGCATGTGTGTGTTAGCTAGGGAGTGTGAAGGAAGCTGTATCTAGTACAACCAGGAGAGCATACAGAAATCCCACTGTAAATACAAAGATCAGCTAGGAAAGAGCTTTTGAAAGTGACACGGTGAAGTTCCCTGCTCAAACTCTGAGACTGTCCACCATGAGTACTGAATGAAGATCCATCCACACAAGAGCCTACTGTGTTCCTACTGAAAAATGGCAATAAAGGAGGTTTACGGACATAGCATGGAAAAACGGCGAAATGCTAGAGAGATAAAGCAAGTTGCAAAACAGTATTAAAGTATGATCCTGTTTTTTAAACATAAACAAATACAGCCTATATACATATGAGTAGGCATATAACTCTAAGAGAGTATGGGGTTATTAGAGAATTACACTTTCTAAGTAAAATATGTCTGTAATGTTTAATATTTGTAAAGTATTTATGGATTCAGAAATCGGAATAAAACAGCAAAATATTAAAACCAAAAAACCTACAGAAACCAATGAGATCGCCCTGAGAGGGAGAAAGAAAAGCGGGGAGGGACTCACTGGTCTGGGCTGGAAATGCTCATCTGAGAGGCCCCACTTGTCCCTGTGGTACTGGTAGTACACCAGGTTCTGCTGCATGACCTTGTCATTCTGGTCGAAGAGCAGGTAGCTGACTGCACAGGGCGCTGCATTCTTCAAGTCATTCACTGGGTGCAGGAGAGAGGCAGAGAATCAGCAAGCCACACCCTGTCATCCCTCCCAGCAGCCACCCTTCCCAGAAGTTGAGCTGCCTAAAAGAAAAGGTCACGAACAAGCCCTGCCTCCAGAAGTTCTGCAACCACCTGCTCACAGGCTGAGTCTCCGTGGCATTCTGGAAGCCATCTTTGAAGCACAGAGTTTCCTGTTAGGCTCATGCCTCGGCAGACATGTCCCTGTACCACCTCAGGATTTGGCGACCCGACCTGGTGTCCAGTCCCTGGCACCAGATGGAGAAGGTGGGTCCCAAGCTCTGGACTGTCTTGAGGCTGAAGGAAATAGGATGTACCCAAACAAGTTCCCCAATTGAGGTTTATGGTTTCTGGGTCCTCTCTGGGTATGACCATAAGCTCCAGACACAGGTGGACCCTCCTCCAGTTGGTGGAGGTGGACCCTCCTCTAGTCCAGACTTAGAAGACATAAAGGAAAGGGGCTCCCAGGCTGAAAAAGATTCGAAGTCACTTGGTCCTGCCATCTCCTGGAGACTGGGGTTCCCAACTCTAGCCGCCTACTAAATATTGCCCCGTCCACACCACCTTCAGCATAGGGATTTTAGAGGGGTTGGGCTTTGTCTTGGGAGTGAGTGCAGTGGGGCAAAAGGGAAGAAAGGCTGAGACACAAGCCCCTGGGTATTTATTCTGGCACATTCTACCCCAATTTACAACTTACGACAGAGGAACCCCAGTTTTGCCAAAGCTCTGGTTGGCAGGAGTAACACAGCTTGGGTATGAATAAATTGTGCCACCCAGAGGCTACTTCCTGTAATGACAACTTTAAAACTCTCAGGGGACATATTCACAAAGTCTGCATGGCAGCTAAAGAGTTCAAACATAAATTGTAATGCCTACTCAAGAAATTTGGAGTAGTAGGAAGTCTAAAAAGAGTTTAAAACAGGGAAGACTTACAGGTGAATAACTTCCGGAAGGAAACTTTACTTATACTGTTTACTTATAACTCCAGAAGCATGCAATGTTAGGAGGCTTTGGTCTACTGGTGTATACAAGTCTCTGCCATTTCCTGATACTCAGAATAATTGCCTAAGCATGTGAGCACTTTGCAGGACCAGGGAGCTGCTGGAGCCCAGATATGTCTGCAACAGTAATCTCACAGTTTTCTAGCCTTGGGTACTCAGAGCTAAGCCATGTTCAGGTGCGTGCAAACCACATGGACTATTAATAACATATAAGCATATACTACATATATATACATGTTTGATTTTTTTCTTTTTTTTAATCCTTTAGGAGGTAAGGCTTTAGGAGGAAAGGGGAGGTAACTTGCAGGAAAAGGCAACCCAACAAAGAACAAAATAATCACAGTGTGAAAAAAAGGCTATAGAAGCCAAGGCCGCCTCTCACTCTTCCTGCCATCCCCAAGGCCACCAGATCTTGACTTTGAAGAGGGGAACTGGGAACGGGAATCCTAGCCAGAAACTGTCACCACGGCTTCTTCACTAGGACAGAATAGCTCTTGCTCCATCTGTCCACAGGAGTCCTCCTGTGCTTACAAGGAACAGCCAAAGTGGACACCTCTCACGAAAGCAGCACGTGGCACAGCTGGTGACAGGGAAGGAGGTGAAATCTAAACAGACAGGCTCCAAAGTCTAACTCTAGACCACCTTCCCTCTCCATTTGCTTCCTTTCATTCACATATGAGGTGTGTGATGGAAATACATGATGAATGCATCAATTAAAAACTTTATTACAGTCAAGACACAATGTCATTAACTCTCCTCAAAATACTCCCCTTCGCTTCAAACACGCTTAGCCCATTATTCTTGCCACTTTATGAAGCAGTTCTGGAAGTCGTGCTTCAGGAGTGCTTTTTCGTGGCTGCCTTGATGTCCTGATCAATTCAAAACACCTACAGCAATCATACAAAAATGTTATGGTGTGTCCTCAGCCACCTTTTTCACAAGATCTGGCGCCAGGTGACTTCCGATTCTTCTCTGAAATCAAAATGCCTATGAAAGGTGTTAGCAGGGTGTACGAGGGTTAAGATTATGACATAAGCCCCACAGTCCAGAGTTTCTGGCTTTAAGAATGGAAAATTATGTGCAAAGCTACTCGTTTCCTACCCGTGTGTGGGAAAACTCATAAGCACAGTACTCTCAGGGCAAGACAATCCTGAGGACAACAGAAAGAAAGCTAGTTCCCTGTTCACTGGTACAGGCATCTGGGTGTGGAGAAGGGATTGTTCATCTTTTAACCTTTACATCTTTTGAAGTATACTTGTTCTTTATTTTTCAAATTCTTCTTCAACCATGTCACAAATGATGCATGACCCCATCGCCCTGTGCTTCTTGCTGGCTAATAAAAGTGAACTGACTGTGGAGGTTGTTGAGCTTGTTCATTGGGAGCAAGTCTTCTGGCCGCCCCCACTGCATTTTGAAATTTGTCTTTTTCTTTAGTCCTTGCCGTGCCCCCTGCAAGTATCTGGGAATCTGATCAGCTGCTGGCATAAAAGTAAACATTTTTAGTAGTAAAACTAAAGACACTCCCAAACGAGATAAGCATGTTGTGAGGAGAGATTAATAGCAATGTGTCCTTTACTATAACCATTTTTAAATTAAATATTCACCAAATTTTTCAATCACACTTCACAGAATGTTGTCATTGATATACTCTATGCCTAGCATAGCACCAGGACTGTCAAGGTGACCTTGATGAACTGTCAGCAACCATAGGTGAGGAGAAGCACCTCTGGTTTACCCACGGGGAAACTGTTTTAGAAAGATTAAGTACCTTGGGCTGGGGATATAGCTCAGCTGCACAGTGCCTGCCTGGCAAGCATGAGGTTGTGAGTTCAATTCCCAGTACCAAAAAAAAAAAAAAAAAAGGAAAAAGATTAAATACCCTGCCCAAGATTCCACAGATGATTACTTACACTTATAATAAGCGAACTGCAAATAATGATACATGGTAGCCACAAACTTCTCGACAGGATAGCCTCCTATAACAGGAGTGAGGTTCTCTTCACACTGTATTTTGCATTCCAGGACTTCTACATAATGATCTGAAAACACACACAAATTTTCAGAGCAGTGCATCCATTACTTTTTGTTTTGCAGTCTTGAGGGTTGAACCCAGGCCTTATCCATGCTAGGCAAGCTCTCTTCTACTGAGCTACATTCCCAACCTCATGACTTTCTTAATATAGCTACTTTTGCTTTCCATGAAAGTAAAAGAAAAAATACATACAACATTTACAATTAGAGGCTAATATCTTTATTATGCAAAGCTCCTTAAGATCTAGAAAATGTCAAATACCCACTATAAAAGTGACTGAAGGTTTTAACAGAAAGCATAAAAATGATGAACAATCATTGTGGAGCAATGCTATAACTCCTTTGTAATTAAGAGATGCAATCAAATCCAAGTGTGGTGGTGCACATTTATAATCCCAGTACTGTGGGAGGCAGAGGCAGGAGGATCTAAATGAGCTACAGATGTAGTTCAGTGTCAAGGCCCTGAGTTCGATCCCCTATACCCCAAAAAAAAGTGAAACTTACATACCCATATTCTGTGGGAGAAAAATTTGGCAATATTTATCAAAGATATACATATATCTTCCAACCTATGAGTCTACTTCTGGGAAATTTTCTTTAGACATAGGCATTGTTCGTAACAGCAAATATGGAAGTAACTAAATGCCAGGCAATAAATTATGGTACAAACAACAGAATTTATTGAGACTTTTGGAGAATCGAAATATAACAACATGAGAGATGTCAAAGACTACATTTTCCAGCTTCCCTTGCATTGGGATTGGGGCCATACGCTTGGTTGAGGCCAATGAAATGTACATATAACAACTAATAAGCTATTTCCAGTCCTGGTAGTATGTAGAACCTCCTATGTGATCCTTCAACCCCTCTTTCATCCCTTTATACAACTAGAAACAAAAGCTAGGGTATCTGCAGATCTTGTTGGCAAGACTATGGAAAACAAGGTACTCTCACACATTGCTGGTAGGAATGCAAACTAACACCTTAAAAGACTACATAATTTACAGAAACAGTTCCTGTTTGAACTATTAACCCACTTCTGCAGATTTTGAAAACATAGCTCCATACTTAGGGGGAAAAAAGCTGCAGTACTTGTAGTACTGCAGTAGCAAAAGATTGGAACAATCCAAATGTTTACGGACAGTTGAATAAACTACAGCACACAAGCCCCACACACACCTGCAGTGGGGTACTTGGCAGCAAATAAAAAACAGCAACACAATCTCCATGTGCTACTTTGGAGATATTAAGTGAGAAAGCAAAGAACAGAACAGAGTAAAAGGTAGAGTACTTATTTTGTATAAAAGAAAAGAACTATGTAAAAATATGGGAATACATATATATTCTTTATAGAAAAAAGTGATTCAGACAAGAATTCTTCATAGATACAAGATCAGCAAGGGATGAAAGAGAAGGGCAGTTTTATGAACAGCAAGTTGTTATGGTCTAACTATACTACACTACTATATACTAACTATATTGAGAAAATACTAACTATATTGTGGAGGAAATAGAAAATATCTTAACCAAATGTTTAAAAATTGACATTACTGCCAGGTGTGGTGGTACATGCCTGTAATCTCAGTACTCAGGAGGCTGAGGTAGGAGGATTGCCAAGAGTTCAAGGCCAGCTTGGGCTAAATAGTAGTTCGTTGCTAGCCTGAAGTACATAGTCTCAAAAAAAAAATGACATTATCAATAAGAGGGCAAGCAGACATGATATACATCTGGCTGTAACACCCTAAGGGACACATCTGTGGGGTTCCAGCCAGAAATTCACAACTTGAGTGTAACTGTGAGATTGACCTAAATGTTTTAACACCATCACTGGCATAAAAAGACAAAGGCCAAGGAATTGTTCCAGATTAAGGAACAGTCAAGAAACACCACAACTAGATAGGAAATACGATTGTGAACTGGATACAGCACCAAGGAAGAAAATATGTCAGAAAAGACATTACTGGGACAACTGATAAAATTAAAATATGGATGTAGATTGCAACAAAGTATCGAATCTAAAGTTCCTGAATTTAATTACTGTGGCTATTCAGGCAATATTACTGTTCTTAGAAAACACACTGAAGCAATGGGGTAAAAGGTCATCACCTCTGCACCTACTTCCAAATGGTTCTGAAATGAAAATAATTATATACACAAGACATGGAGAAAGCAATAAAGTAAATGTGGCACAATCACTGTTAAAATTTGGTAAATCTGGGTGAGGACATGAGAGTTCTTAGTATTATTCTTACAACATCTCTACGGATTAGAAATTATTTAAAAATAAAACCTAGGTCTAGAAGTCCCCCTTATCCTTGAGGGCTGTATTCTTGCTGCAAAACTGCAGATGGTACCAAATTTTATTTGATACATACATATATTTTTTTTCTATCCATATAAATTAGGTACGGTAAGAAATTAACAATAGTAACTTATAGAAAAATAGAAAAATTGTAACAATATACTGTAGGGCTGGGGATATAGCTCAGTGACACAAGTGCCTGCCTGGCGAGCACAAGGTCCTGAGTTCAATTCCTGGTATCCAAAAAAAAAAAAAAAGTTATATTATAATAAAGGTTATGTGAATGCAGTCTCTGTCTCAAAGTGCCTTACTGTACTGAACTCATCCTTATGATGATATGCGATGATACAAGCTTGTGACGAGCCAGATAAATGACATAGCACTGTGACACAGCACTAAGCTACTACTGATTACTGGAACACAAGCATTGTGATAATGTGACAGTCGATCTGACACCCAGCATAGCCAAGTGACTGATGGGCAGATAGCATATGCAGCATAGACATGCTAACAAAGGGATAATTCACATCCTGCGTGGAACAGAGCAGGGCGGCAGGAGATTTCATCACACTACTCAAAACTTATGAGTTGTTTATCTCTGGAATTTTCTACTTAGTATTTTCCATCTGTGGTTGACTGTAGGTAAGAAAACCATAAGTAAGGGAAATATATACTGTGTATCAAACATAGGTAAGAGCTGGGTCTGGTGGGTCACACTTGTAATCCTGGTATTCTGGGAGGCTGAGGTAGGCAAGTATGAGCCTGGTCAAGTTAACGATTTAGACCCCGTCTCCACAAAAGCAGGGAGTGAGGGCCTTGTGGGTATGTAAGTCAGTGCAAAGTCCTGGATTCAATCCCCGGTATTAAAAACAAACAAAAGAACAAAACAAATTCAAACCTCTCCAGACAAGTGCCAATTTACAAGAAATAGAGAGGATGGAAGAACACGGGGATTCGATCAGGAAAACACAGAATGCGGAAATCTCTATCAGTCAAGTAATCCAACTCCTTCAGCAGCAAAGGAGAAAGAAAGATATGGAAAAATAGACCACAGATGTAAAGACATCAGATTTTCTACAACATGGATACACCTTGAAGACATCATACTAAGCGAAGTAATTTGGCTGGTCACTACCGGACAAATGCTGCATGAGCACTGTTACACGTGGTAGCTACAGCAGTCAGATTCACAGACAGGAAGACAGTAGCTGCTAGATGCTGGGGCAGGGAGGAGGGGCTAGGGTTGAACAGGTAGAGTTTCCATTTGAGAAGAGGAAGAAGTTCAAGGTGGTAACGATGCTTGCACAGTACTGTGAATGTACTTATTGCCACTGGACTGTAAAGTTTACAATGATTTAAACGGAAAATTTCATCACAATACAAATTTTATTTCGTTTTTTTGAAGGGTGTTTTTTTTTTTTTTTTTGAGAGAGGATCTCTCTGGCCTTCAACTCGCTTATATAACCCAGGCTGGCCTCCAGCTCACAGCAATCCTCCTGCCTCAGTCTCCCGAGTGCTAGGGTTTTTTGTAGTTTTATGAATACAAATCTTAAAAGACTATCAGTTGCAACATCTGGGCCATGTGTGGATCCAGATTTAGACAAGTGGTAATACAAGATATATCTATTTTTGACATTTCTTTTCTTGTTTTTTTGTTTGTTTTTGTACTGGGAATTTAACTCAGGGCCTTACACATGCTAGCCAAGTGCTCTATCACTGAGCTACATTACCAGCCTTTTAAATTTTTTTTTCCTTTCTGAGGTACGGTCTTGCTGTATTTCCCAGGATGGCCTGAACTTGCACCCTTCTTGCCTCAGCCTCCCAAGGACTGAGGATTACAAGCTTCTGCCCCTGTGCCTGGGTATTTAGGACACTTCTGAGATGATATGAACACTGGATATTTGATGGTAACAGTAAAGAACCACTGTTAAAATTCCTTTACGTCTAGTAGCTTGGTGACCAATATTTTTAAAAGAGCCCTTATCTTTTAGAGAAATATACTGAAATACTACAAATGAAGTGATACAGCATCTGGGATTTGCTCCAAAATAACCTGAGAGAAGGGAGAAAGTTATCCCAAATAGCCATGAGCTGACAGCTCTGAAGCCAGATCATGGGCATGCAGGGAACATTACAACCTGGTAGTTTTCATAGATGTTTGAAATTTTCCAGAATAAAAAGGGTCACTTAAAAGGAAAATAAAAAGGTACTTTATAGAAAAAGAGATCCACGAAGAAAAACTGATTCTAAAAAACACCCTAGATTCACTACCTTTAAAAGCTCTTCCCTGGGCAGGACAGGCTAGCAGCTCTACCAGGGAGACGCATAGGGCCCTGTGGGACACAGCCCCCCAGACGTATCTCACGCACCGCACACAGACACACGCTTTCTCTAACCTGTGCCCAGACCTACCTGCCCTTTCTGCAGGGCACAGAAGGAATCAATGCCCACGGTCACCTTTGGGAACTCTTCCCTCAGCCATTTCTCACGTTCTAGAATAATGCCGCCCACTAAGGTACTTTAGGGAAATCTGGCCTACCTATGGGTGGTAATTTAGGGTTGTTGTTTTTTTTTTCTTCTTCTTTCTTGTTTTAAAAGAAAACATATCTGGTTGTGATAGTACATATCTATAATCCTAGCACTCTGGGAGGCTGAGCCAGGAGGATCACAAGTTTGAGCACAGCCTGGGCAACTTAGCAAAATAAAAAAGGAAGGAGTGTGGACAGCTGGGTATAGTGGCACATGCCTGTAATCCCAGCACTCAAAGGCTGAGGCAGAAGGATCACCTTGAATTCAAAGCCAGCGTGGGCTCCATAGTGAGACCTAGTCTCAAAAAAAAATAAAAGTAAAAAAGAGCTGAGGACATAGCTCAAGGCAAAGTCCTAGAGTCAATCCCTGGTACCACCAAAAAAAAAAATCAACAAAAAGACCTAAATGTTACTTTTCTTAAGGGTTCAGTCTAGTCTTCATCCTACCTTTCTGTGTGCTGCAAAATTGCCATTGCCATAATCCAAGTCTCCTCAGTCATGTGAGTCAGTGGGTCACCTTTGGGCCCATTTCTGTTTCCGTAGCCTTGGGGGAGTCTGCATGGAGCAGAGCTGAACTTTCCAGCAGCTCTTTCACCAGAGGCCTTGGCCAGGTCATGGGTTTGTCAGGTAGGCGCCCTCTACCCAAGTTATTGGCTAGTATTTAAGCTTGGGAGTTTCTCAAAGACCCTGCAAGGCCTGAGGGGGCCTGTCCAACATTATCAGCACTCTGAGGAAGACAGACTCTATGGGGCAGGGACCCTTCTTCCCTGGGAAAAGCCACCCACCTGCTATGGAAAGGTAGAAATCCTTGAAGTCCTTGATCTCCCTGGAGCCCTCACAGGCTGCGAGGCACTCATAAAAGGCCTTAAAGAAGTCGGGGAGCGCCAGCTCCATGTCCGTGATAGCTGTTCTCCAGTTCTCGCCATTGTAGGCCCGCACTGCTCGGATGAACAGGCTCTGAAAAGCAAGGAGAAGCTGAAAAATGTGTTCTGGTCAGAGGGAGGCAGACCTGTCCTTCCAAAGGAACTGAGACTATTGCCACACTCTGCTTTCATTAGCCCTGGGAAAATGACCCTGGTGTTCCTTAAACATGAAGCCCATCTATAATTTGTTTTTTTCCCCAGTGTGGTGGATTGACAACTGGTGGTCAACTTATAACACCCAGCTGAACTGAATCAGCATGGTGCTGGGTGTGGAAGCCCACCCGAGGACTGCTGCCAGCAGCATAAGAGGCAGAACCGGAGAAGAGAGGCTGGTAGGAGCTGAGAAGCTGTTGGGTGCTGATAGAAGCTGTTAGGAGCTGTTGGTTCTCTTGGAGGAGTTTGTCATGCTGGCTTTCATAATGAACCTGGCTGTTCTCATCAGAGGAGAAGCTTGGAACCTCGTTGTTGCTGAGAATGGCTACGGTTCACTTTAGGGGAGCTCTGGTCCTCACTTTGAGCATCACTTCCTGGTTGCAGTGCAGATCCCTCAGCATGCTAGCACAGATCCTTTATCCCACTGGCACAGACTTTCTAGCTTCCACCACTGACCTTTGGACCTTCCCAGTGCAGACCCATGAAACAGGCCTGCATGAGACATTGTCATGGGCTCTGGGCCTCCAGTTGGATTCGTGGGACACATTTCTATGGGCTCTAGGTCTTCAGCTGGATTCATGCAGAACATTATCGTAGGATGCAGTCCCTCAGCTGGATTATTTGGTCTTTAATGTGTGGACAGATTTCCTGCACTCTCTTGTATATGACTCTTTGGGTGACTACTCTAAATAATCTTATAAAGTATATGTCCTGCATTATATTGTTCCCCTTGCAAAACCCTAAACCAACATACCTAGGTACTGAAGATTGAATCCAGGGCCTTCACACTGAGCAACACTGCCCCCGCCCCAGCCCCAGTCCTTTTCTTATTTTCATTTTGAGACAGGGTCTCACTAAGTTTGTAAGTTGCCCAGGCTGGGCTCAAACTTGCCACCATCTTGCCTCAGCCTCTCAGGGTGCTGGAATCACAGTCTGTCACCATGCCTAGTTTGTATTTGCTTGCTTGTTTCCTTCCTTCCTTCCTTCCTTCCTTTCCTTATTGTATTTTATTTTGTTGTGGGGGTGGTACCAGGAACTGAACTCAGGACCTCACGCTTGCCAGGCAGGCACTACAGCACTGAGCTATATCCCTGGCCCCTTCTTTCTTTTTTTATTTTTTGAGACAGGGTTTAACCATGTAATTTAGGTTGTCCTTGAACTCACTATGTAGCCGAGGCTGGCCTCAATCTCATGGTGATCCTCCTGCCTCAGCCTCCCAAGTGCTGTGATTACAGGCGTGTACCACCACACTTAGCCTGTAATTTGCTTTATATCTAGATTTTTCTACTGTTGACAATGGGTACAATTTTTATTTAGTTTAATTCAAAAAGTAGTATGTGCTTGATAACAAAATCAAATTCAAATCAAGAAAAAAGTTATAAAAAGGAAGTCAGCAGCTGCCAGGAATCAGGCACTGGAACAAAAGCTTGGGCTGGGAATGTGGCTCAGTGGTAGAGCTCTTGCCTTGCATGCTCAAAGCCCTGGGTTCAATACCCAGAATAAAAAAAAAAAAGCTTGCCTGCCAAAGACAGGATGGAATATCTAAGGGGTGATGAAAATTCCATACCACGTTCATGAGTTATAACTGCAGACAGCTGTCACAATGCATTGAATTTTACATTTAAGATAGGAAAATATATTGTAGATATATTCACCTCAATAAGGCTGACTTTAAACCTGAATTCAGGGAAAGACACAGTTTGAGAGCAGGTGTCTGACACCCTGCTCGCTCCAGCTGTGAAGGCCAAAACCAGAGGCATACACCTGCTGCTACTGTGACGGTAACACACACAAGGGAGCACACACTGCACAGGTTTCCTCTTCACTGCCAACTGGACAATGTAAGAGACAGTCACAAGGACTGAAGTAGTTCAGTCTCCAAGAGATAAGCAGATCCTGGATACACTCAAAACCTGCACCTCTTAGATCTTTTTTTTGCTTACAGAAGTGGTAATTGAACTAGGACCTTGCACTCATCCGGCCATACCATTCCATGCCTCAAACTGTCAGTCCTCCTTCCTCAATGTCCTAAGCAGCTGGGATTACAGGCATTTGCTACTATATCCAGTGAACCTGGACTTTCCACCAAGCTTCAGGCCTCCAGTAGAAAGGGTGAATCTCTAAACTTTTTCTGAGCAAGCAGAGTCTCCTGGCAGTAAGACAGGCAGAGACATAAAGGAGTCTTTTCCATAGAATGAATAAAGGAACATCTACTCCAGGCAACTGGCTTTGCAGAAGCAGCAGGGCAGCGGAAGCAGCAAAAAGGAAGCCAAGCAGAGTAAGGGAGCCTGAGTGCTCAGGAGGGAGCCTGGCCACACTCAACAGGGTTTGAGCAGGGAACAAACGGACTGGCTGACTTCCAGGTAAGCACAGTGCTCCGACCACAAGCACCCAGCTCTGCTCCCTAAAGGAGAGCCTCTGCTCTGGAAGCCTCTGCTTCCCGGCATACACAGTGAAGAAAGGAAAAGGGCACGTGTCCTTTTAATGTGAGGACAGCAAAGGAACAAGCAGCAGACAAGACAGATCTCAACAACTTTTGGAAAGACACAGCCATCAGAGGAGAATCCAGCGGGGAAGTGAGGTACATGTCCTGTTGGCACCAGCAGGCACACAGGAGCACAGGAGGTGGGGGACTCAAAACTGAAAGCAAAGCTGAAAGTCCAAATAGGGCTCCTGGAGCAGAGGCTCCTCCAGCACCACCTGCCCAGGCGAGTGCTCACAGCCTCAAAGCCCCTCTTCACCAGAGACTGGCAGCTTATCCTGGATGCTGACTCCACCCAGAAGTTGCAAAGTCCCGGGTAAGGCATAGTGAGGCTAAGACCCAGGAAACAGGGAAGTCTTCGCTCTCAGCTACCAGCACACAAGCACAGACACCCCACCAGCACTTCCCGGGAAAGCTGTAAGGCTCCCAGAAAGGACAGGCCTCACCAATGAAACACTCTGCATGCAGTCTGGTCACATACCAGAAACTGTGCAATCAGGCCTTGGGATCTATAAATCCTTGCAAAACTTTCAGTCCGTGCCTTGCCCTACCCTTCCCTGGGGCCCAGGTCTCCAGTGTCTGAACTTGACAGAACCTAGCCACGGTCAGTGCTCAAAAGAGTTCGATGATGCTTACTCTTTGGAATTCTCATCAGAGTTCCCCTCTGTAGACTCACAGACCTAAGTATTTTCTGTTCTGCCAACAGCTCTTTACTTCAACCTTAATACACATGTTGCATGTGTAGAATAGATCTTTCAGCTTCATACAAAATGGAGACTTATTCTTACAGGTAATAATGCATGAACTTATTTCATAAACTCTTCAACTATATACTCGACATGTAAAATGTACAGTTTGTCAGCCATCTCTTAAGTTAGACTATAAATATTGTATAATTTTCCTTCATCAGAAACATTTGGAAGTAGTGCCACTTGGGTCAAGATTTTCTTCCATGCCATTTACTTAGCAAACCCAACTGTCGTTAGGCTATGCAATTAGCAAAAATTTGTATACTACGATGGAATATAGTTTTCACACTTCAATTTCACAAGAGGTGTTCTTTCAGAACCTGGTCTAGCAAAATTAGACAGGAAAGTCCTAAGGAGAGCTAGGAGGAAAGAGCCAACACTTTCAGGCATGAATAGCTGAATCTACTAAAGATAAATAATGTCTCCTTCTTCAACTCTCCGAAGTTTACTGCGCTGACACTGGCCACTGTGCTTTTTGTGGGGTAGATGAAAGAAGTTGGGCAGCTAAGTTTCACTCCCACATGCCTCCTATGTAAACAGAAAATAAGCACTTATTCTAAACTGACTTGTAGACAAAGTAGGAACTGCCCTGCACGTTGTTTCTGTAAAGAGATGACATTTCCCGGCCAAGCCCAGGACATCCAATTTTCCGTCAGTCACCTCGGCAGAAAACCTGAACAGGAGAAATGATTGTTGCAAGCAATGAACTGCTTTTCACAGTCTCATTTGAGGCAAGTGGTATAAAAATCTTAACTTTTGTATTTGGAAAGAAATAAAAATGAAAAAAAAAAAAAATGAAGACATGTTTTATCTTGTGTTCCTCGTAATTTTTGCATGATTTCTAAGGTATGTCTTTACCATCTGAAAACAAAACAGTCAAATGATCATATGTGCAAAATGAAGAATTTAAGGGAGAGGTAGCTTTAAAATCTCCATGGAGTGTAAAAACTTATCTTACAGGGCCGGGGATATAGCTCAGCGGGCACAAGCGCCTGCCTGGCAAGCATAAGGTCCTGAGTTTGATTTCTGGTACCAAAAACAAAACAAAACAAAACAAAACAAACTCATCTTACAGATCCATTTTGAGCTAAAAAGCTAAAATATTTCTAATGTCATAATGTTCATCAAATATCACCAAAAAATCACTAGAGGTCTTTGATGTCAACAGCTGTTCACTAATATATGTCTTTAATAAAAATCGTATCACATTGACCACTACATAAAAATCTGACTCTGCTGGGCTGTGGTGGCATATGCCTATAATCCCAGCACTCAGGACGCTGAGTCAGGAGGCTCACTGAGAGTTCCAGGCCAGCCTGGAATATATAGTGAGACCCTGGTCAAATAAATAGACAGATGTCCAAATCTACCTCATATGACTTGGTTTCCAAGTCTTTAATGTAGTCCTCAGCCCCAGGCAAGCTCTTATAATACTCCATGTTTCTCTTCATCATTTCATCATCCGGATGCTTCAGTAGAAAGGTGTGAGCTGCTGCAATGGCCTTTGGGAGATTATTTGCCTAAGTACAAAGAAAAAAGATAACTCAGTGGATGCTAAACAGCGAATTTTGTACAAGAAGGTCTTTTCAGTAACCAGTAACTTGGTACCAACAGTCCTTCAGTAATTTTGTGTTCGTAACGACGTTTCCAGTTTAGCTTTCAGTGACCTGGGATCCACAAAGACCTTGTCCACCCCGAGCATGAGGGTCTCACTGTGCCTTTCCCTTCTATTTGCCTCCATTTCCACTCCGCCTCTGTCCCAGGAGGCCAGCGGTGGATGCTTTTACAACAGATTCCCTTTCCCTCCGGCTCTAAAGGAGCTCAGTAGTGAGGGCCCAAGAAAAGACTGAAGGAAGGGAGGACGTAGGCTGGGTTATTTCATCTCCTGCTCCCTCCCTGCACAGTCACACTGGGCTGTGATGTCTCTTAACTGAGTGTCCCAGCACCTCTCCAGGAGGCCCTCTCCATAGAAACTCTCCTTTCAAGTTCCAGTAACTCTTTCTCCTTTGCCCATCTTGGTTAATTTTCTCTCATGGCTGAGACAGAATACCTGACGCCCAAAATTAAGGAAGGAAAGGTTTATTTAGCTCACAGTTTGTGGAGGTTTCAGTCCATACTTGGCTGGCTCCCAGGCAGAGTGGCTCACAGCATAGGGCAACAGTTCATGGTGGCAGAAGATAGCAAAAGCAACAAGAGCAAAAGGGAGGAGCGGTGGCAAGTAGCCTCTTTCTTTTCCTTACATTGTATGCAAACTACTCGCCCCAGGGTGGGTGTAGCACTTATATCCTTAATTCCAACACTGGATCGTGAATCAATCATAAACTCTAGAAACCTGCCCCATGACTGCAAGAGGCTTTGCGGGGACATCCAGACACAAACCCTCTGGCCAAGTGGTAGTGGTATGGCTTAGATTTAAAATGTTCCCCAAAGGCCATGTGCTGGGCCTTTGCTAATGCTGATTGGATCATAAGGGCTTGAACTTCATCAATAGATTAATCCATTATCAATGGATTTGTAAAACTGATGACATTATTGGGGAGGTGATGGAACTTAGGAGGTAGAGCTGAACAGAAGAGAATGGGTCATGGGGTATGACCTCGGGGACTATTATCCCCGATATTATCTATTAATATCCCCTATTATCTTGATCCAGACTCTTGCCTCTCTGGCTCTACCTCTCATTCTCATTTTCTTTCTCTCTCTCTCTCCCTCTCTCTTTCTCTCTCTCTCTCTCTCTCTCTCTCTCTCTGCAGCTTTTCTCCACTATACCCTTCCTCCATGATGTTTCTATGTCACCTCACCACAGGCTAAAAGTGATGGAGCCAGCTGACCATGGACTAAAACCTCTGAAATCATGAGCCAAAAAAAAACTTTTCTCCTTTAAGTTTTTGTCATCAGGTATTTTGTCACAGCGATGGTAAGCTGACTAAAACAAGTGGTCATACTCCATTGGTACTAGACCTGGTGGACTGCACTGCTCTCATGGATACCTCACACACTGCACACCTTTGTGAACAACTGCCTTGGTAACCTCCCCTCAGATCACTCAGGATGACTGCACCACTTCTTTCCTGATGGAAACTTGACACAAATATGCTAACGTTTCCCCAAATTTCTCACAGAACCTTCTGCCTCCATTTTTAGTGACCTCCTCAGTCACTCATCCATTCACTTGGCAAATACTTGTGAAAGGCTCTTATGCAGGCACTGTTTCTAGGAAGTGGGTTGGTATTAAGAAACAAAATAGGGGGAAATTCCTGCCTTCATAAACCATCCATACCGAAATTCTCTTTTTCCTAATAACCTCAGTTAAGAGCCTCTCATGCTGGGTGCAATGATGCACACCCAGCTGTTGGGAGGCTGAGGCAGGAGGACTGCAAGCTCAAGGTCTGCCAAGGCAACTTAGCAAGACCTCAACTCAAAATTTTAAAAGGCCTGGGATGTAGCTCAATGTAGAGCATTTGCATGAGGCCCTGAAGAGCCTCTTTCTGTTACCCCTGTGTTGTGACTTCTCACTTTTTACACCTCCCTGCTATCTCAGCTAATGTGTCTCTCTCCCCAGCCAGGCTGATCGTGGTAGAACGCAGCGGTGTCACTGTATCTACATTTCTGGTGTCTGGCACAGTTCCTGGGACAGGCAGGACACAGCAAGTACCTGTGATTTGAACATAATCACATTATGACCACATAACATTTTCACAAAATTAACTCATAGTTTCCCTCTTTTCACTTCCTCTTCTGCTCTCTGAAGCAGTGACCAGCTGACTCTGAGTTTCTCTAGCCCAGAGGAAGTTGGTGAATTGTAGAAAGAAAAAGTAGTTGCGTGGCAGACGCCCTTTGCTCTTGGGAGAGCTTAGCAGGTTTGAACAGAGCGGAGACTGACAGTGGGGGACACAAGAGGCAGGAAGAAGCTGAGAGTCCAGGAGAAGAGGAACAAAGAGGAAAAGTTTTCTGTCAGGGTGTGTAGGAGCAGCAGCATCCAGAGCTCTTGAAATTTAGGCCAGCGCCCTGGGCAGCAGGGCCGAGAGGGCTGCAGCCCTCTGGTGTGTGGTAGGGAGACCTCATGGAGGAAGGTGATGCAGATGCCTCCCTGTGGAGACTGGAGTGACGGAGGCCCCACCTATTTGACCGAATCTGGGTTGCACCCTGGTGGAGGGGCGTAGTCACCGCTCATGGCTCTGTAGTCAATCCGGCAGGACGTGGGGGACAGCGATTGGGGTATCTAGAGAGAGAAAACTAAGGGGTGTGTGGGTCACTCCAGATTCCTGAGAATCACAGGGTCACACAATTGTAGGAAACTGATTGAGGCAATGTTGAGGCAAAGGCCCCTACCCCGTGGGAGGGGCGGTGGGTAGAGATGAGGGCAGGCTCCCAGATGTCAGGGCTGAGGCTCGGGAAGCTTTCACCAGGCCTGGCAGCTAGAAGGAAGGCAAGGGTCCGAATGCCGGCTTTTTAAAGCATGTGCCAAAGAACTGAGTCTCATTCGTGGAAGGGCATTTAGACAGAGGAGAACATGGGGGTGGGGGTGGGGGTGGGGGTAACTACTTATTTATTTGTTTGTTTATTGTGGGTTGTGGTACTGGGAATTCAGCCCTGGGCCTTTGTACTGACTTACATCTCCAACATCAACAAACTTTTTTTTTTTTTTGAGACATGGTCTTGCTAACTCCCTAAATTGCCCAGGCTGGGGCTGAACTTGTAATCCTCCTCCCTCAGCCTCCCAGAGTTCTGGAATTACAGGTGTGCGCCATCACTCCCAGCTCTGAAGAGGCTTTTTAAGACCTCTAGTTTAGGATATCTCAGTTTTGCAAAATGGACCTTCTCCTAAAACAAAAAAGGGTAATTCTTAGGCTGAGAAAATACCTCAGAGGGAGAGCACTTGCCTGGAGCGCCTGACGCAGTAGGTTCAACCCCAGCACTGCAAAATAAGTAAATAAATAACAGCAGAAGCCCAGCATGGTGGCATGCCCATAACCCCAACTACTTGGGAGGCAGAGGCAGGAAGATTGCAAGCTCAAGACCAATCACAACAAATAATAAAAAGCTGGGGATATACTTCAATACCCCTGGATTCAATTCCCCAATACAGAAAAAGGAGGAGCTTTATTTCCTTCACCCGACACTCTGCCAGCTGGAACAGCATCTCTGACAGACCCCAGCAAGAGCACCCACCACTCTGCTATGAGTTCCCAAGCATGAGAAGGCCCCACATAGGTATCACACTGCAGGCCAGCCAGCTCTCTCCAACTCAGAGCTCAACAAGCTCTACAGACTTGATGAAGTGAGGCCCAGCTTTTGCTTTGAGATGGGTAAAATGGGCATTTCGTGGAAGATGGCAGCCATGGAAGAGGGACCAGGAGTGCAGGAACCTGATGCACAAGAAGCTTTGCACTCTGCCTACAAGATCACACATTCAAGCCTTCTTGCCTCATTCCAACATTCCCAACCCACTGTCCCTCCTCCTACATTCAGCTGTGCTGTACACACATTCATGATCAACTCAAGTCAGCAGCCTCAAGTCAGAACAGCCACAGCAGGCAGCGCCTCTGACCCCGGCCTGCAGATGCCAGGAGGAACAGACAGGCCTGTTGCCGATCAGTTTTTGCCCACCCGTAAGTTCAAGAATGTACACACTGAGAAAAAATACACTATCTCCACCAAAAATCACTTTTTCAGTGACAGCTTCAGTTGAAACAAATTGAGTGAACATTCAGGTTTATTAATACAATTCTTATCTTCCCTTGTTCCATAAGGGATCTCAAAATACGGCCTGGTGGGGTGGCACACATCTGTAATGCCAGCACTCTGGGAAACTGAGGTGGGAGGATCCCAAGTTTGAGTACAGCCTGGGAAATTTGGGGAGTTGACAAGTTTCTGTCTCAAAATAAAAAGTGAAAAAATAAGGGCTAGAGAGATGGTTCAATGTGCTCAATCTCCAGTACTGCAAAGAAAAAGAGAAAGGAAAACTCGAAATATTAAAACAGGGAGTGTTTTACTCACTTGAATAAGTATTTTAAGTCCTATAAGGGGTTTTGAAGAGCTGTTACAAATATCTTAACCTCTTGAAAACCAATGCCTTATGGCCACATGGAGTTAAATGGTGTCCCCTCCTTCTAATAACCACTTCTTCATATTCATCTGAATTTAAATTTCTAAAGAAATCAGACAGCCGAGCAAAGTAGCACACACCTGTAATCCCAGCACCTGGGAGGCTGAGGCAGGAGGATCACCATGCGTTCGAGGCCACCTTGTGATACACAGTGAGTTCAAGAGCAGCCTGAACTACATAGTGAGGTACTGTCTTAAGAAGGAAAGAAAGGAAGATCAGAGCTGCTAATATTCTCCATGTTTAAAAATAAAAAACGTTCCTGCCTTGATTATGTGACTTAACTTGATCCAGACTATACTGGCTAAAAGCTATACAAAAAAAGTCAGGCAAGTCGTTTTTAGCTTTAAAAATACTACTTGTATGAGCCGGCTGTGGTTTTCAACACTGAAATTTTACTAATCTCATCCCTGGTTGTATTTTAAAATTTTTTCTTTTTTACTTCCAGGACAAAGAGTCACAAAACTGATATTTTATATAAAACTGTAACTAGCCATAGAAATAAATCAGTTTCTCTAGAATTTTGGAGGGTGTTTTGTGCTAGTTTATTGCTTATATGAATGCGACATACAGGTGACTCTGTCTCAGTAAGTTCTGAAAAACAAAACTAACTTATCGTCCAAAGACTCAACCTTTTTCAACCAGAGGAAGCAGAAAGTGGGCTTTGAGGGGGTTCTGCGGGCCAAACCCCTGGTCAGAGCCACCACGCAAAAGCCTCTCCGTCCAGTAACAGACTATTCACCCCGCCCCTGCACTGGTGATGAGCTGCATCCCCAGCCCTTTTTATATATTTGAGACACAATCTGCTTACGCAGCTAAACTGCCCAGGCTAGCTCCAGCTTGTGATCCTCCTGCTTCAGCCTCTCCGAGCGCTGAGAATACGGCACGGGCATGCGCCGCCACGTGCCGCTCATCCCCTTTTTAAAACTTGGTAAGCCTGCAGATTGAGGACTCAAAGCATTGAGAACTGCTGTCTCTGGCTATTTTGGGTCAGCAGTCATGGACAAAATTTAAGCAGCTATAAAAAGGAAGCCGTGAACTGTGTTAAACTGTAAATTTAAGAGAGGAAACCGACAGGGTCAGCCAGATGAATCACCGCACCGAGGCAGGGATGAGTCCTCACGGCGTCCCGCCCCGCCCCGGCCTGGCCTCAAGCTCCTCCTCTGGAAGAGGGACTTGCTGACTCCGCGGGTCACCTTCCGCTTCACCGTGGCTGGTCCCAGCTCCACTGCGAAAGGCGACTGTAAACAGCACCTACAGAAAGGAACTCTGCCTCCACGTCACTAGAGGCAACGTTTGTCAAGCACTTTGCTGGGTGCCAGACATGTGCTGCGTTCCATGTACTTATTCTCTGCCTTGGAACAGCACCTCAAAAAATAGTATTTTCATCCTTACTGAAGAAGGAACAGGACTTGGAGTCCCTTTGGAGGAAGTGCCGAGTGGGTGAGAGCGGGGTAGAGAAGGCTCCCGGGACCCAGAGGGGCGGGGCCGGGGCGGGGCCCGGAGGGGGCGGGGCGGACTTGCCTTGAAGTAGGCGAACTGCAGGAACTTGTAGGGCTCACGGCGCTGGAAGTCCGCCAGCACCTCGCGGCTGGGCTGCGACTGGCGGAAGGCTGGCAGGCCCTGCTTGCAGCGCTTGAGGCACTGTGCGCGGCGCAGCAGGCCCCCGAAGAGGCGCAGCTCGGGGTGGCGGGCGAGGTCGGCGGTGGGCTCGGGCTGCGGCGCCGAGCTGCAGTTGCGGTGGCAGAAGGCCTCGCTGTCGCGCAGCAGGCGGTGCAGCCGCAGGCTGATCTCCAGATAGCCCACGCTCTCGGCCCAGTGCTCGCCGCTGTACTGGTCCAGCGCGTGTCTGTAGGCCGACTCGAGCGGCATCAGCTCGTCCCGCGGGAAGCTGCGGAAGCTGTAGCGCTCGTACTGGGCGCGCCCGGGGCGCAGCGCGCAGCCCGCGCACAGCAGCGCCAGCACCGCCGCGGCTGCCTGGCGCCCCGGCCCCATCGCGCCCGGCGGAAGGAAGGAAGGAAGGAAAGAAGGAGAGAAGGAAAGGAAGCAGCGGGACTGCGCGACGCGGCAGGCCGGGGCCTGGGAGGCGGGACACCAGCCGGTGGCCCGCCCCGTCCGGCCGACCCACCCCACCTAACCCGGATCCCGGCCGCCGCTGCGGCGCGGAAAGAGTGCTTTGGGGAGGCCCCGGCCCACTCCTGCCTGCTCTGTGCGGCGAGAGGTCGCATAAGGTTGGAACAAAAAACTCCTATATACCGTTCCTCAAGATTCACAATATTGTAAATGTGCCATTCAAGAGCAGTTTGTGTACGTGAGGCCCACTTGCCCCTGACATCTTTCAATAAGTTCGCCCTAAGAATAACTACGATCATCAAATACAACACTTATAGAAGACCTTATGTTTTTTCATTTGTGGTATCGGGAATCAAACTCAGGACCTTGCACTTGCCGCTGAGCTACATCCTCGGCCCTAGAAGACTTTAAGCTGCGTTCTCTGTACTGGTGTTGCCAACTGTCCCAATATAGAAATGTCTTTTTCTACCACTTTTTCCTCTGGGTAGATCAGGATCACTATGGCATCTAATTGTTACCTCTATTTCATGTCCTTTAACCTTGTCATGCCACTGGCATTTTTGAAGGATACAGGCAAAAACAAAAATGGGATAAATACAGGTTAAAAGAAGCCAACAAAACTCAATTTTTTCATCTTTCTTATTACCTTAGGGCTTGGAGCCAAATCCCTGCTCAGCCCTGCATACAGGCCTCTTATCACTTCCGGTTTCGGTATTGCAGGGGTTGTTAGCTCTGAATTTACTTAGTCTGCTTCATCCCCCTCAGGGCCAAGTACACCAACACAGGAGTAACTGAAGTAATTTTGGGGTTTGTGGAGACATACCCACATGCCAGCTCTTTGCGTCTAACTCCAGAACCCTAGAACAAGGCCTACAAATCTCCATTACAGTCACCTCAGATTCCAGGAAAAGCAGATCCTTCCAGACCACCAGCCCCACACAGGGGCAGCAATCCCACTAAGGGAGCAGAGGCAGACCCCTCCCAAGCTAGAGCAATCATGTCGTTAAGCATTCCTCCAGAGCTACAAAACCAGAACTGAGATAATGGCTGGCCAGATGCGGGCCCACCTCACTAATCCGTGAAAGCTGCTCTACATGAGAGTGTGACCCCTCAATTACTGAAGCTGCAGTCTTTTTCCTATTCCCTCTTACTAACTCTGCCTAAGCCTCACAGTGATACATCCTGAAATTCTTTTTCCACACTTTGGGCCAAGAACGTACTTTTGGTCCGGGCCTAGTGGCAAATGCCTGTAATTCCAGCACTCGGGAGGCTGATGCAGGAAGATCGCTGCAAGTTCAAGGTCAGCCTGGACTGCATAGTGAGACCCTGTCTCACCACAAACACAAAGGGCAAGTTGAGTTCTCTATTATAGAAAGCCCTTCTGGACCTTGTCACGGTCCTGAGGAATCCACATATGTAATCCCAGGGAAAAGTTATTGGAATTCCAGTAAGTAATTCCAATCTACCACTTCCAGGGCAATCTATAGTGAGAATAAAGACATTAAGGCATGTTTGCAGTTGTGGGGAGCCAAGGGGGTCCTAAGTCAAGCTAGAATGATGGCTAACTGGAACAAAGGCCTCAACCCAGGGCGGAACCTGAGTTTTATTAATTCATGAAGAAAGGAATGGCTCAAGGATGAGCAACTGTGAGAAAGGCAGGAGGTCTGTGAGTGCTGTGAGCTGGGCCAGGTAGGAGGCCTGAAATCACCTCTGCAACATGCAGGGAGAGAAGATGCAGAAAAAGTAATCTACATATCACAGATTGGGGGAGTATCTAGTGTTTTGGGGTTGGTGTTTCAGTTTTGACGTGCCCTGAGATGTCACAGCTTATTTCCCAAAGCTCAATCCCAGCCAACAGTGTGGCGTCACTCGGCCTACCTTACACATACAGGGCATCACTGACCTGTCGCATTGCTTTAAACACTACACATCAGTACCTCAGCTAGACCCATTTGCATTGCTTAAAGCCAATTTGGGGAATAAAGAAATATCCTAGATGGGGAGATAGCTCAGTGGCACAAGCACCTGCCTGGCAAGCACAAGGTCCTGTGTTAGATTCCTGTTAAAAAAAAAAGAAAAGAAATATTCTAGCCAGCTCTGTATATATCAACACATAAAAATAGGGCCAGGTTTAGCCAAAATGGAGCCAAATGTTCTTTCAAGGAGAGCTATCCTGGTGGTCCTCCACACTCTCTCTCCTCTTTAGGGGGCTTTCTCAGATCCTCTTTGGTGACAGTACCACTGTAAATATATGTTAGAACGGTGAACAGTCAAAACAACATCAAGAGCTGGCAAGGATGTAAAGAAACAAGTACTTTCCTTCCCTGCTGGTAAGAATGCAAACTGGTACGGCCACTTTGGAAGTCAGTTTAGCAGTTTCTTGCAAAACTAAATATTCTTCCCATGTGATCCAGCAATTGCACTCTTTGGTATTTACCCAAATGAAATAAAACTTATGCCTACAAAAGTCTGTAAATGGGGAGAGCGCCGGTCTTCAGACCGGCG